GGCAGCCATTTTCGATTCGGAGGCTTAATTTTTTGTAGGAGTAAACATCTGATCTCCTATTCGAACTTCTTGACCCAAGAAACTTAATTTTGAACGTATTGTTTGTTATAGCTGCCCTGAACGGCAGTTTCATCCGCAAGACCGGTGGCCATTTTGGGCGCCATCTTTGATATTAGGGCTTCTTGAGAGCCGCAGCGGAAAATGGACCTCATTTTCGGACTCTACGACCCTGAAAACCTAATAATTGATACCTCACAATGCATGTAGACCCGAATAGGCAAATTAGTACCTGTAAGAGGTATTTTTGGACGCCATCTTGGATTTTGGCCTAAAAATGACCTTTGGGCTAACTTTTGACTGAAAATTCGGATTCTACGATCAAAAATACATAAGAATCGACACCCGACACGACGTATTTGCAAACTTTAAATTTTTTCACCCCAAAACCGCCATTTTGGCCGCCATCTTGAATTTGGGGGGGTTTGTATGAAATTTGAGATGGCCATCATCGATTTTCTTTTTCTAGACATCAAAACGAAGAGATTGATGTATCACACAATATGCCTTCACGAATCTGCACACGGGATTAAGTATGCCCCCGCACTATAAGATTCTCTCTCTTTTCCTTTCCTGATTTTTGGACATTTTTAAAGCCTATTTGAGAGGAAAAATTTTTTTACTTTGACAGAAAGCAAACAATACTCCAACTCCTTTCCACTCTTATTGAGTGATCTGCATTGCAATTAAAGAAATATGTATCTAGTTCTGTTCATTTATTACAATTAAAAATTTGATCTTTGCGACACCTTTTTTTCTTTTCTTCCCTTTAAGTGCCACATGATAATGCAGACTTGGCAATTTTCCATTATCCTGGTTTAATTTACACGTCTAAAGACATTTTTAGGACTAAGATACTTGTGAGAGATAGTTTTGACTGATTAAGAGGATCCAACTCCCTTGTTTTCAAACTTTTCCATTCTTCAGCTCCTTAGAAATTCTTTGAGTATACGACTTAAAAAAAGTTTGAACAACAGATAACTCTTCAATCTTCGCAAATGTATTTCAGGGATAGAATAATTTTAAGCATGATATTATGTGGTAAGGATGACAGCTGTAGATAAAATTGGTTTAGCTGCAAGATGAAACAAATAAAAAATAAAAAAAAATCTTACACTCAAATCCATCTTAATGATTTGAATGGTCGAAGATACAGAGAAAATTTATCATCTTCTATTTCATTTTACTTGATAAAATTGAAGATGTTTGGGGGAAAAAACAAAAAAATTTCAAAGCTTACCTCTATTTTTTCTTTGGCTATAGTTGTCATTGAATTTCGATATATATCAGGACAGGAGGACGCTCTCAATCGATATCGGTTTATATTGAGCATAGCACCTCTATAAGTTAGTGAATGTCTGAAAAAAGGGAGAAGATATCACTGCTTAAACTGAAATTAATTGACAGTGACATTATTCCTTGGCAAGAAAAAAAAACACCTGGAAGAAGATGATAGAATAAAGCTGGGTCCACGCTATTCAAGGCTAAAAAATTCCAAGAATTTGCATTGGATTCAAAAATTTGAACTCTAGTGAGTATCAGGCCAATACTGAGGGGAAAGAGTGTTCAGCTCAGCCAGATTAATTCCGATGCATCTGCCTTAGCTGAACACTCTCCCCCTTTTCTGTGTTGCACTGATGCTTACTAGAGATCAATTTTTTTTTAATTTAATGCGAATTCTTGGAATTTTTCGGCCTTGAATAGTGTGGACCTAGCTCTACTCTAGCATCCTATTCTCCCTTGGTAAAGTATCAAGGACAAGAATTATTCTTGGAACCCTAGGGATTCTTCAATTATAAATTAAATAGAGCCCCCAAAAATAAGTCTGTTCCAGTATGGTTGAGCTCTGTACTTTCACTTCTGAATTCTCACATTTTCAGAGCTCCTGCATTCGAATTGTCTATCAGATCATTGAAAATTTCCCATAGACTTCTAAAGGAAATGCAAACACAAGCATAATGATACATGTTTTCTCATCAAAATATCGTTTTAAACACGATTTGTGCAACAAAAATTATTGAAAGCACCTCACTCCTTACCAAGATATTAACGTTATCTGATGCACAGGAATTCAAACTTCCCACTTTTGAAAAAGTCATAATTTACTTGAGTTAATACACACAAAGACCATTAAAATGTTTTGTGACCAAAGCTAAATAAAACCATTAATATCTTTGTAAAGAGTTAATGTTGATAATTTTTATTGCGCAAATTGTTTTCTAAGTGAAATTTTGAAGAGGAAACATGTATTTGACGGCTAAAATTCACACCTTGTCTAGGAATTCATCAATAAGATTGCAGTTGAGGGCAATAAAATACTGTTGCATATAAAAATAAAATAATATTCTATTTACCTATGAACCCGTAAGTCTTTCAAATAAGCTGTGGGCAATCTTGCTCTGTTCGATGGTCGAGGCTGTTTATTGGTCCACCATGTGGTGTTAGGGTTCGTTGAATTGAGCCGGTTTGCTAATGCATTACCATTAAGGCCTTCAGGATGAGCCTTGATGGGTCGTTCGGAGTCATTCTGAGCTGCCAGTGGGCTCATAGGGGCTGAATTAGGCATGAGACGACCAACATAATGATCAGCGTTGCTTGACTGTGGAATCTGTGAAAAAAAGGACAGATACAGTTTTATTTCATGATACAGTGAGTTATAATTTTAGTCACTTGAAAATATCACAAAGAAATAACTTCTCTTCAATGACATATTAATGCCTTCCACTTTGGCATTATCATCATGTTTTGTTGAAAAAGGAAAATATAATAAATTCTTTGATACCTCCATGTAATTCGATTAATTAAAAATACTTTAGTGATGCTTCTAATTTATGATACTTTTCAGATTTTGAGAATAGACCCATCATTTCAATTACTTACAATTCATTTCATATAACAAGAAATTTTACAGGGAGTGCATCTCTTCTGATCTCAGCGTAAGAATCAAATTCCTATGAAAAGTTATTCAGACTGAACAGTGCTCGAAAAAAGCTGCCACATTATAATTCTGTACGTTCCCTATGTTTTTCCCCCGTTTTTTTCCGTCTTCTTCCTATGCCCATGAAAAAAGTTCCTTGGTAACTTTCCAACACCTGGCATGGGAAAAGATAGGCAAAACTATCTTTACAAAGATCTTGAATTTCCACAGGAGCATTTGTTTACATTTGAGATTCTTGGAGGAGATTCCACAGGAGGATTGGTATACATTTGAGATTCTTGGAGGACCAGGCACGTAAGTACAGTTTTTGAAAAATTGAGATATTCATGATCTCAAGTAAAACTAGTCTTAATGCATATTCTGAGAAAAATTCGCTCTCAAATTCCAATTTTTAAGCATTAAAAAGTCAGTTTGAACTTTCTTTCCGCCACAAGGATCCACGTAATTTTGCAACTTCAAACACGAATTTCTCGAAATTGCAAAAACTGCACTTATGTATCATGTCCTCCGAGCCCCTCATTTTTACCATTATTGGAACCAATTTAAATGAAAATTACTTACTTCATGAACACGTCCACTGTCACTGAAACTGCGGGAGGATATTAATAAACTAGGATAGTTGTGACATAATACATGATACAATTGCTTCTGATTAGAGAGAAGTTCTAATACTTCTAATGGCACTTTTTCACCATTTCGAATGAATGTTGGCAAACTGACTAGTGAGCTGCAAAGGCGTGCCTTTTCACGCTCTGCTTCAGACAGGTGAATGTCTGCAAAAGAAGGCGGGTCATGAATATCATCTTCATTCACTGAAACAGAAGAGGAAAATATTTTATTGGTAAAATATTCAGCTTGAAATAAAAGATTCGGGTGACTTTGATTTCGACGATAAGCTCTTAACTAGAGGTTTGAAATTCTAGCATCTGAACGCAGTCTTAATAATGCAGCCACTTAGAGTACTCAGAATGGTCTCAATGTTTCAATACTTGATGCGCTAACATCTTTTCTTGGTGGCTCGCTGAAAATTTTCCTTTGTGGTGTGAGACATTTCAGGCGTCTGGAGAATACAATTAAGTTTTCATTGCCGGGAATGCTATGAGGGTCTGGTTGCAGGTATAATATAATTTGACTGAGATTCTAAAACGCTCTTTGAAACTCCTTCGACTTCAATTTGATACTTTTGTTTGTTTCAGCGGTCTTCATTACTCAATCAAGGATATTCCAGAAACTTTCAAAGGGAGTGTTAAAATGTTTCTCGACAGCTCAGATTGCCAAATGTAGAACTCAACAACTTTGACGCTTAAATGAAGCCATTCAAAGTAGTCAGAGAACATCGCAGACTATCAGAAGGCAAGATGATTAGGAGAGTCGAATCTTAAGTGTACTAAAAATCAAGATTTTGTCATCATTTCAACGTAATCATAATCTCTAAATGTGGAGATATCTTTTTAAAAATCTTTGAAACGTTCTAATTGATTTCAGGTACTAATTATATGTGCCTGAAATTAACAGTTCAATCCTGTTTTTTTTTCATTTTGGGAAATCCTGATTTTTTACTGCTAAATTCTGATTTCATGATTTTTCCGAATCCTGATCATATCCTGATTTTTTGCGGACAAAATTTAAGACGTCATCACTTTACGCAAGGCGAATGTAACTTCACAAAAATAGCTCGATAAAAAAATCCGATCAGACGGCCGACTTTTTTCAAATCCTGATTTTACGACCGATTTTTCCTCAAATCCTGATAAAATCGGGATTAAATCCTGACTGACCTCAAATCCTAATAGAGTCGGGAAAATCGAGGAAATCCTGATGCTAGAAACCCTGTCATAGAATGACCACGAAATAGTTGGTGCGCGCCCAGTGCCTGGTTGACATATTCCTGGTCAAAAGCACCGAAAGTAAATATTTGCGGTGGTAACACAAGATATGTAAACAAAGCATTGATCCAATTTTTGTTTCTTCTCCTTTTCACGGCCGGGTAAAACCTGCGAACGGGTTCGCATTACAAGCCGACTGCGAAACATTTCCAATGCGGCGCCCTCGCCCTTGACCGTAAACGTGGATGAGCAGTAGCTGTACTGCCATGCTAAGGAAGAACGCCGTATGAACATCCGAGAGTTGCCAAATTTCCTTCAATAAACTGTTTATTTTTTAGGAAAGTTATGAATATTTTTCCTAGAAACTTTCGGGAACGTTAGGTAAACTTGCGAGCAAAATTATCTGAAAAATTGGAAGGAAAATATTCATATAAGTTCACCAGGAAATTCGTGTTTTATCAAAGAAAATTTGGCAACGCCTGGAGGTCCATGCGGCGTTTTTCCTTAGCACGGCAGTGTACATGAACCACAAAATGGACCAAGTCGCAGGTCTCGGGCAGTGTTTACATCTGCGGGCGGAAACAGCCCCAAGCGCATTGGCACTAACAAATGCTGTCCTCATTCCATTAATGCTACTCCGATGGTCACCGTGCTCGTACCTCGTACAGAGACGGGAAGACGCACAAAAAACAAGCGACAAAAAACCGAGAGTGGGGTTGCGTGGAAAATTACTCGCGCGAGTAAAGTTCGCACACGCACAAGGAGTCATAAAGACACGTGGCTGGCTCCGGACCTGGAACGCGCGTGGACGGACGGCCGGACGGAGAACCTCCAGGTCCGTGAATCATGACCGAGCGATTGCGCGTTGGTTCTGGCACCACCAGAAACCGCGCCGTCAACTGCGACGTAGAAACGATCGGGATAGAGGACATTCTGCCACCTGACCCTGCTATTAACTTGACCCGGAGGGCATCACACTTTGTAAGGTGTGGAAAGCACGAAGGCTGTTTCAGCACGGGCGTATTCAGAGCGATTTTCTGAGGTGTGTGCATGGACTCACCCCCGCTTTTCCGAGGGGTATGGGTCTTCCTAGAGTCCCTTTATACTGAGAGTCAAGACAACACCCCCTCATGGAGTCACAAACGGGAATAAAGATTACACAAATTGAACGTTTTTCGTAATCTTTGATCGGCCCATTCTTTAATTCCTTTCTCCGTTCCTTCTCTCATTCCGTTTGTTCCTTGCCGAACCCGTAATTCCCTGGTCCATTCCAGATTATAATCTTTGCAATTGGTGAAAATGTAATCTTTATTCCCGTTTGTGACACTGTGAATGCCTAAAATACGGGAACTAATCAGAAATGGATTCACGTTGCCGTTGTCTTGACTCTCAGTATAAAGGGACTCTAGGTCTTCCTAGTGCGAAGGGGAGTTTTGGAGGACCTTGATAAGGGTGCGTTTTACAAAAATTCTGTTACAAAAAACGCTCAAGTTATCAGGCAAAAATTATAAAATTATTTGGCGTTACCTCGCCAAAAAGCAAGTTTTCCCCTACCCATCCTCTCGGACTTCGAAAGATTTTGCAAAACGCACCGCGCGAGGACTCTCTCTTGAAAAAAATTGAAAAATTGACCTCTTTTACAAACGTTTAGAGGTTGTTTTCAAGCAAAATTTGGCCAGGTGTAAACTTATGGTTCAGCTATACCAATAATACTCGGTGAGGGGGTGGGATGGGGGGGGGGCACACCTTGCCCAATCATAATGTAAGATGAAAAGAGGAAATTCACCGGATCTAACATTATTTTGATGATTACATTAATTTGCAGATTTTCTGGGGAGGGGGAGGCGGATGATGCAATTTCAAATTCTAGGGGGTAGCCGATCCCACTTTGGCCCTTCCAAAGCTACTCCCCCCCCCTCTCCCATTTTTATTAGGGTCAATCAGTACAAAATTTTGAGATAATTATGTAATTTCAGGAACCTCCCACCCCTTCTGGAGCCTAACACGACAACGATTGATTTCACAACTCGAATATTCTTAGTATCTTTTCTTTCTTTTTTTAAAAAAGGACACGCAAAAAAATAGTCGGTGCTAATGACAGAGCCTTCTGTTCACAGGGCTCTTGCACTTTCTTTATTTTACTTACAGAACTTTTCTGTGGTGAGAACAGAACCTCGGTCGTGAGCTCTGTCCTCATGACGGAAACTTCTGTAGCTGTAAAAAAGAAATTGCAGGAGCCTCAGAACAGAACTATTTTTTTCAGTGAAGAAGAAGAGAAAGAAGAAGAGGAATAAGAAAAAGAGAAAGAAGAAGAGGAATAAAAAAAGAGAAAGAATAAGAGGAGTAAGAAAAAGAGAAAGAATAAGAGGAATAAGAAAAAGAGAAAGAAGGAGAGGAATAAAAACAAGAGAAAGAATAAGAGGAATAAGAAAAAGAGAGAGAGGAAGAGGAACAAGAAAAAGAGAGAGAAGGAGAGGAATAAGAAAAAGAGAGAGAAGGAGAGGAATAAGAAAAAGAGAGAGAAGAGGAGAAAGAAGGAGAAGAAGAAGAGGAGGAAGAAGAAGAAGAGGAATAAGATGAGAAAAAAGAGGAATAAGAGGAAGAGAAAGAAGAAGAGGAATAAGAAGAGAGAGAAGAAACCTCTGACATCCTCCCCTACGGAAATGTTAACGAGTGTAACGCTCGTGTTCGCACCGAAAATACACAACCAAGCTGGGGGCCTGAGGGAAGAAATCCGACAAGAAGCCGGAGGAGTGCGAAGGCGCGAAGGGATGGTGTGGAAGTCATATTTGGCACGAATGACAAATGGCGCTGAGCGCGAGGCGGGAGTTGCCTTGCCGGCCGCGGGAGTGCGAAAAACCCCGTGTTCCTTCATAGAGGGAGGCCGCAAACGGGCCCCAGGCGACGCGACACGACGTGGCGGCGGGGTGCGCGACTGCACAATCTAGTCGTCGAGGAGACAGCAACGGCGGGGTATTTAAAAATAGTCCATCAATCATCGAAAAGCCCCCCGCCGCACTTCCATCGAACGCTCGCACCAGGCTGTCTGATCTCTTTCCATTGTCAAACACAACTTACGTTGCCACATGTCGATGGCGAGACTGGAAAGGCAGGTGACTCCACTCGCTACACTGCTTTCTCTCGTATTTTTATTACTTGGGGCAACTAACGTGTTGAAAAAAAATTAAAAAATGAATGAGCGTTGCTCCTTGAAATATTTGACAAATCGTCGGCCTGTTGACAAATAGGCGTAACTATGAACTTTAAAATGAGCCCTGTCGTACATATATTTCCATGATTTCCAGGGCTTACGTAAAAATTAGGTTACGTCTTTATGTCGGCAAAACGACAAAATAAAGCCACCAACCGGGAAGGACTGAGGATTCTTCATTTAAGTGGACGACATTATTAGAACTTGCTAACTATAAAGCGAATGAGTAGGTAATTCTCGATTTCAAAATTGATAGGGTGCATCGTTTGGGGGTGTAAAAGTATTAATTCTCACTATTTAGTGTTTCTTTTACGAAGAAAACGGGAAGACAAAGAGAAGTGAACAATGCTAGATTGCGATTAAATTACTTTATACCAACCAACAAAGACGATCAGCAACTTCCTAGGTTTCTATGTCAGTTACAGAATGTCTCAGTTGTGTAAGCTGAGTACTGAGAAAGACCCGTGTGCGGTCAGAAACGAGGATTCGCCTCTTCGGTGACAGCGGGCCGATCATTGAAATTGACAGACTAAGCTGTAGACAAATAAGACGAAAGGGATATGGAGGGATCCTGTTGGTGGAAAATGGTGATTGCGGTAGACAAAAGAGGTAGGGAATAGAATAGACTAACTAACGGCAACCTAAGAGACCATACAGTAAGTCCACCATTTTCTCCCCTAGTCTATAGGAACCCCCCATTTCAACCAATTGCATTCTCCCTATGTCTTGTTTGTTTATCGTTGTCTATCAATTGCAATAATCAGCCCGCTAGTCACTAGATTTGCCTCGATTTTCCAAAATTCTGCCTCCCCTCCCCCTTCCAGAGGCCCCGCCCACCTCCAACTGAAATGACGACCCCCACATGAGCGTGAGCGAAAGCATTAGAGAATGATAGACAAACTTACCAGGTTTGTTCAAGAGCTTCTTGATTTCATCTATACTGGGGTAAGAGGGTGAGTGCGGCTGCTGACTGTGCTGACTGGACGAGCCCGCGCTGGAGGTGGTGCCCATCCTCTTCCTCCGCTTCTTCCGCTTCCGCCGCTCGCGCGTCCTCTTCCTCTGGATCTGGGCGCGGGCCTTGGTCCAGGCCAGGTCCCGCATGAGCGCCCCGCAGACGCACAGGTTGAGGAAGAGCCCGGCCAGGATGAGCGTCGTCCCGCGCCAGCCGTACTCGGCCAGCAGATAATCCAGGAGCGGCGCGAAGATGAAGGTCCCGATGCCGCTGCCGCAGACGGACAACCCGGTCGCGAAAGAGCGCCGCTTGTCGAAGTAGTAGGCCACGATGACGACGGCCGCGACGTAGCAGAGCGAGAGCCCGAAGCCGGAGAGGATCCCGAAGGTGAAGAAGAGCACCTCGATGGAGTTGACGAAGGCCGAGGCGATGAAGCCGGAGGCGGCGAGGAGCCCGCCCGCGATGGAGACCTTGCGGCACCCGTAGCGGTCCGTCAGGAAGCTCGCCAGCGGCCCGGAGAGCAGCGGCATCGCCATGAACATGGAGCCGATCCAGGCGGTCTTGCTGTTGCTCTCGTTGAAGTACTCGACGAACTCGATGAAGATGACGCCGAAGGAGAACGTCACGCCGTCGGCGATGAGGTTGACGACGAAGGAGGCGAAGACGACGACCCAGCCCCAGCCGCCGTCCGGCGGCCGAGCCTCGCATAGGTTCAACGAAGACTCGTCGTCGTCCGAGGAGGAACTCGAGGACTCCGAGCTGGAAGAAGAGTCTATCGAACTCGACGAGAAGGAGTTGCTACCCTTGAGGACATCGCCGTTCTCCGAAGAGTCCTTCTCCTTGTCTTTCTCGTCGTTCAGGGAGGAGCTGCTGTTGGTGCTCGAGTGGAACTGGACGTGCTGGGATCGCCGGTTGCCTTCCTTCTTCAACGCTGGGGAATCGCCGTTGCTGCTGCATTTGGGCGCCGCTGCGAGAAGAGGCGAGCCGCTTTCCGAGGCGGTGATCTTGTGGTTGGAGTTGACATCGCCGACGGGCAGTGTGGAATCGCCGTGGTTGTGGATATGACTCTGGGTGTCGTCGGTGGGTGATGCTTTGAGCGGAGTCGAGGTTTCGAATCCGTTGATGTGGTTCGTGGCGTCGAGGTCACTAGAGGGTGTTGTAAGAAGCGGGGACGATGCTTCATTTTCACTCTCGCAAGGAAACTGATCTCCCCCATTTCTGACGGGGGATTCTCCTCCGAGTCGCGGGTTACTCTCGTTTAAAACCTCGCAAGAGCCGACGTGAGCTGCTTTGTGGTCGATGGCGTTGTTGACCAGTAGAGCTGATTTGAGGGGGCTAATTTGATTAACTGATATAATATCTTTTTGTGGGTTCTCCATTCCGGTAGATCGCGTTTGAACCGGAACCTTAGATTACTTAGTTGCGTTAGATGCGTCATGCGGATTTTGTTGATTAGACGGGGTACAGATGAACTGTAACGGGGGCCACCGGACAGTTTTGCCATGCGTTGAGGTGGGATGCAGTTCTGACGTGCTTCAAACTGATCTCCTTGTCTCTGACGGCAGTTCTGAAACAGAAATAAATGAAATAAAAATTAGTTTCGCTCATCAAGTTGAGTGGCAAAGAGAGAGCAGAATTTTGATACATATAAAGAATAATTCATAAAAGCCTAACGGATCTTTTTTAACAAAAATGAACATTTTTACATGCAGAAATTAATCCGCGCTAAGATGAAATCCCCCGCGCGCCCCTTCAATAATTGAAATTCGCCCTAGAGGAAAGCATTCGTAAGCATAAAAGAATAAATTTACGGGGGGGGGGGGGGGCGGCTATCAAATATTAAAAAATGGAGTCACGCGAAGGAATAGCTTACATTATTAGAGGAGCTAGTTGAAAAAGAAAATTTAAGTAATTCGGATACAAATAATGACGATTTGATCCATCGTCATGGTTTTTGAATTTAATACGTGCGTTAATTCAGCTTTCAATCCTCGCAGGAATGTATCGCGCTCAGGTAGTACACCTCGCAAGATGCGACTATTTTAACTCCTGAGAGCTGTTTTTGCCTATACGGGCTATATGAAGGCAAATCATTCTTTGCCATCGAATTCGTCAGAAGAGTGGTTCGCGAAACGTTGTCCGCCTTCAACACGGACGATTAGGCAAAATTAGCTCCTAGAAGTTAATATAGTTGTATCGTGATGATCGACCTATGTGCGTTGCATTTCTTGTAGAGGCACGAGATTTAAATCAAAAGTACACTTTCAGCTTACAGCTATCGATGCATGAATGCTCTTTCACGAAGCAAACCTATAATTCCTCACTTCAATTTCCGACAGTTGTTTTATATAATATTCTCATTTCCGAGTTTTTCTGGAGGGAAAATGAAAAAGTACGACGCGAATATAAATTCATGAAGGAAACACGAATCAATGTATGGAGTGTGGTCGTAATTCCTGGAAATGAGAGCCTCGAGCATGAATGGAATAACGGATACCCACAACTACATTCAGTTTTTAAATCCTCTGTTATCGGCGAGGATTAAAAAACACTCTGATGTTGGCTGTTTTCTCCCCCAGGGCGTTAGCGCGTGAGGGCGTTTCGACAAGTTTTCTTTTTTTTTCCATACCGACCTTTAAAAAATTGCGCTCTTTTGGTGTAATTATAATTATTCCGTAGATTAGACACCGTAGAAATGCACGTCGGCTCTTACTCTAAGATTTTGATGTGTGCACAATTCTCAGAGGATGACAATTAACATTAGCAGAGTTATCATTAAACTCGAGTCGTGAACTTGAGGACGAAAACTGGAGAAACGCGGGTGCCATTAGAAGCTCTGGGGATCTATAAATAAAAACCTTGGCGGGGCACGAGGGGAATGGCGCAGCGAAATTGCGGACCATCGACTTCTGAGCGCTTGAATGGCTCAAGTATGTAGATTAAACTGTAATATTCATAAGTGCTCACATAATATCACGCTTTCCGTGCGGCCGACGCGACGCGGCGACGCTCAAGTTGCGGCGTGAATGAAAATTTATGGGGCGAATTCGCGATCCAACAGCCGCCGGACACCGATACTCCGATTACGACGGACCACTATGCAATTTTTACTACACTGCCGTTGTAAGTTCCGTGCCCATTCAACTGCATCACACTTGAGACCAGTTTTTCCCCCCGGAACAAACCAAGCGGAATCAACACATTCTTAGAAATTTTTGGTGGTTAAGTTGGTCCATATTCACAGGCTAACGTAAATTTTCAACACTATGAGTCGATTCTGCAGGGACAGAGGACTTAGGCGCCAAAAAATTAAAAATTGAGTTTTCGGTGGTTCGATATTGCTTAGGTATGAAGGCGACCGACAAGCACATAATGCAACGAACACTAAAATAATTGTTTTCCCGTCAATCATCGTTTTTGTGCAAAATTCCGTTCAATTTAACAACCAGTTTGACACAGAGAGGACATAGTTTTCAGGAAATATAGATTTTTAACATTAAAAGTATTTTCGCAAAACGAAAAAAAAATCCGGACAAAGAACGACTCGTCCAAGTAAATTGAAAGAAAATGTACGAATCTAGCTCAGTCATTTTAATTTTTTGCGATTGTGTGGACCTGCAGCGTTGAATAACGTTTTAACAATGAATGCATATTACGAAAGATTGACAATGTCACCATAACAAGCATTAATAGTTTACCTCATCAGCACAGCAGGCACCGCTGGAATTATGTTATGGTGTAAGAGAAACGAGCAAGTAACCCTCAGTTAGTTTCGCATGCGACGAATACTAAACGAAGTCCATTATAACGCCTGGATGCAACTATTCGAGCTCTGTGGATGTCCGTGTTGCATACGCTTGAAAGTGAAGGCGTTTTGATTTACCATGCTCTCACCGCTTCAACTGTGGGCCGTGGCGCGACGGGCTGTATTTGCGAAGATTCAAAATGAAAGAGCGCGTTCAATTCCTCGTTTTTTCTACAAAGGAAACTTTTCTTACACTTCCTCTACTCTCTTCCAATCCTAGCTTGAGCACCTTTTAACTATGCGTTCAAAACTGCAATAGCGGCAAAGGAAACCCGACAAGGCCAGCGTGGATGCTGATTTAATATTAATCTTCCATCGCACTGCGACGGCGCAACGATAGAACTACTCGTACTCTCCGGAATGCGTGAGGTATCACTCCACGATTGAAGGCATTTTCGAAACTACGAATTTTCTTGTCGGGATTTTCGTGTCGCATACAATTTGGAGCATGAGATAAATGGAATGACTGATCTTACGAGCTACTGCAACAGTTATGCGCACATCTCCTTATTTTAATTTTTTTTTTATAGCTTCCTTTCCGGTTGATATTGGGCGTGTAACTTGTTCGGCTGTGTTTTCGTTCTATTAAAGCTTTTTGTGCACATGTTTTACTGTATTTTCTTGTACTATATTGTTGATTTGAGTTCCTTAGCTAAAGGAATGGTAGAAAGGCCTTAAAAACGAAAGAAGAAGGGCGATTCTTAGGGGTCAAAAGTCGGATGTCAAAGATAAAAAGAGGAAAAAGGTTACCAATTTAGATTTTAATGGCAAATTTTGAGAGAAGCCAATAAGAAAAATGTAAAAAGCCGGCGGGCGGTCGCGTGGATCAGTAGAGGCTGTGCACCCCTGCCTTCACTTTTCCACGAAGACAAATGAGAAGAGAAGGGATGGGCGGCGGTCATTTCCGCGAGGAACTGAAAAAGGGGCTGGAAATCGGCGATCATTTCCGCAAATTATTTCATGACAATTTTTGTTACCATTTGGAGGAGTTGGCAACGTCGGCAAACCTGAAACTATCCCCTAAATAAACATTAATGTACTCACCCATTGATTCAAGAAGATTCAAGAAGAAGACTGTGATTTGAAGTAGCAAAAGAAGATACAAGAGGTCGGTTGACAAAAAGTTCCAAAACTCCACTTCATTTTGTAAAAAGTAAAAGTTCGGAACTTTTTCCCCCCCTCCCTTAAATCACGTATATGCAAATCGCAAAATTTCAAAAAACCTCTTTCTTTTTAAAAAAAAATAAAGAAACTGTCCGCACGGTAAGGATTTTTGCACATCTCAACATTTCAAAATCCACTTTAAAAAAAAACAACAAAGAAACTGTGCGCACAGTTTTTTTTTAAGATAAAATAATTATCACGTCACATTTTAAGTCGAAAACTTTAAACTTTCTTCCCGTGAAATCGGTATCCCATAAACTTCAGGTACCTCAAGCGAGCCGTTTCAGAGCCTCCTTCTAATGCTTCTTTGCATGTATTCCATGCCTGGATGGATGTTGCAAGTCGATCGGCGGTTTCTTTCCGGATAACATTTGTAGATTGCTTCTTGATTGAGTTAATTTTTGTCATTGTGAGAGCTTGCGTTTCTAGTAAAACTTGCGTGACACTATGAATTGAAGGCCGATGGTAAAAATTTTTATTGTAATTGCTGTGGAAGGATTCAGGTCCATTGGTCGTTCTTGGCCCATCAGAGGGGGGGCCTGCCCACATGCTAGGAGGAAACAGTGCCGCCTCGTCTATGTACGTTTCTAAGACATAATCGGAAAAATCAGATGGCACTTGGGGGGGTGCAATCGATAGTAAATCAACGAAACCTCCTTCTAGATCATTCCAACAACTTAGAGTTGCCACGTTGTGCATATTCATTTTTTGCACTTGCGGAAACGATCGATGATTTCCTAGCGGAAATGATCGCCGATTTCCAGCCCCTTTTTCAGTTCCTCGCGGAAATGATCGACGCCCGAAGGGATGCACCGAATTCAACAGTGTTTGTTCCATTGAAGAGACGTGGAAAACAAAAGGACCATCACAATTCCAAAAAATCAATTAGGGGGCAAATAAAAGATACTGGGGAGGATTTGAAATGCGAGATTAATTTCGATAGATTTGAATGAGCAAAAGTTCCCGGAGTCTGCGCCAGTTTCAGTAACAATTTAATTCAATTTCCTCCGCGATGGAAGTTATGGAAAACGCGGACTGGGAAATCCTGGAGTCGCCCTCTCAATTAATTCGATTTGATCCCCCAGATATTGTTCCCCGTTTCCGGGAAGGGAGTCCCACTTCCGGGAGCGAGCCGACTCCGGCGTCTCGCGCGATTAAAAAAGGCCCCTCTCATCCTTTCAAAGAGGGAGTTAGCGGATTAATTAAGAGAAAAAAATTCAGTTAAAAGGCTTCAAACTTCCTGACCTCTCTCAACTTATAGATAAAATAAACAGGGTCAAGCGAGCAATACGTACCGCTGTTGCCGGATCGTTGCGGAACGGAGCGAGTGTCCTGCACTTCGCGTCACGACTGAAAAATTCAGCCCTAAGCGATAAAAGTGAAGGCAAGGGCGATGTTTACCGTTTCTTGTCGCTGTATTTCAGCGGGCTCATTTAATTTAAGTGGGAGTGCATACCCGGATTGCCAAGTTGGTAGCAACGCAATGCAGGTCATTGCAAAGATAAAACTGAACTCCGTTAGTGGAGAAAAAAAAGCGTCTTTATATCGATATGAGTCTCGGACATGGTGAACTCTTAGGTCGCTGAGGGCTCTTAGTA